AGATTCTATTAATTGCGCGCTTTTTTTCTGTCGACCGCCAAATATCACGTAGAAAAAATACAGATGTCGCCTAAAACAAACGACCCGAATGCCAATGATGTTTCGTAAAATTTTTAGGAACGTGTTAAATATAGAATGTCGCCATTAAAAGATTTAGCTTGCGTAATTGTTCCGACATGTGCGACGGCTCAACATGTCACGCGTTCAGATTTAATGTTATCGTGAAACGGATTTGAGCTGTACGTCAAATCTACGAGTATCTTAGACGTTCCCGTCAAAAACAATGTTCATAAAGCTAGCTCCTGTTAGAATCGAAGAACTGTTACACCGAAACTTATTAGCAGCTTTCATATTCGAAATTTGAAAAGTATTACCATATTTGACTGTATAAAAAATCTGATCATTTGATTTAGCGCCAATTCGATATTCGTAGGCAAAGAGCTTTATATAATCCGCAATTAGGGTAAGCCCAATTCACAATTCGATAATGGCTTCACACAAATTCCAAAATCTTGCTGCGATATAAACGGCATGTCTTCTTGTAAAATTGCAACGATTTAACTTGAGGCAAAAAGCGACGAAATAATAATTTCACTTAACCTCTGACTCCCACAACATTAGGATAATCGATCCCGTGACACAAATGATAAGTTTAAAAGTGGAATTCCGTAAAAATATGCGTGGATTTTAATTACGAGTAACATTTTTTTTAATATTCGTTATCTATGTTTCGCAGTTATATATAGACTTGATTTTTTTTTTCGGAAAAAAGGACGTATAAAAAGTCAATTAAAAAACCCCCAAGGGGAAATTACGTAAAAACCTTAACTTACCAAAACAAACCCTTACTTACCAATAAAAACCTTACGTTACGCGACACCTCGAGTTCTGGCTGGCTACAAAAAAAAACTAAGGTAACGAACGGGAATCGCTTCGGAAAACTTGATTTATATCCGTCCGGAATGCACCATTTCTAAAAACGAATAAAAAATCGAAAGAACGTCGTGTTAACCACTAATTAACCCGGCTAATTCGTTGCCTAAATTGGAATGTGTCTTGTCGAATGGCAGAATCCATTTGTCTTCCTTGCCTCTTCCTTTTTTAAAACGGCCCAATAGCTAAGAGATCTTAATAGATGAACTCTCTGTTTAAATAATTGGTGACATTCGGTCATAAAATAAGAAAACAAGCGTCGAAATTGTATTTAGTGCTGATGAATCGTGTACATGATGATCTAAACTTTCATTTAGAACTGAAAGATTGAATATGGATGTATGAATAAGTATACATATTAATTGCTCTGCAACAATTCTAATGTTTATTTATTTATTTAATCTTTATTGCACTAAAAATAGTACAAAGGCGAGCTTAATGCTATATTGCATTCTCTACCAGCTAACCCTAGGTAGAACAGAGACATAATGACAAGGGCAGTAAAGTACTTGTAATCGTTACATAATCAAAAAAAATATTTCATAATAAGGTTATAAATCTAAAAACTACCAACATAAAACATACGTAGATGAGTATACTTATATATTTATACATATACAGTAAATATACTTAAATATTCATATTACATATAACTAACCTAATAATATTTATATATGTATATATTCGTATACCAGATGTTCGTACATAGTAAGCACTATTAAGGTAGCTAAGACTCGGCAAGGATATGCTCAAACAATTTTCTTTTGAAAATGTTTTTTGTTTGCGATTGTCGCAGGTCAACAGGCAACCTGTTCCAAAGCGAAATAGAAGTGACAGTGAAAGAATTGGACATGAAACCGGAGAGATGAGAGAGTACAGACAGTAACGAATTCTGAGAAGAGCGAAGATTGAGGGAATGCGAGTCCCCGAGGAACTGAAATTTTTCTTGTAGATAGGAAGGTGTGGAGGGGTAATGTTTGTATGTCGTAAGCCCGGGATAATCGCTTGCTCGTGTGTATGAAGTTGATAATGGTAATTGTAAAGATTGAAAAATTAGTTAAGAAATTAATAATTAAGAAGACCCTTTTCAAGAACACAGTGTGTGAATCTAAAAGGATTAATACTCTAAAATTATTTCAGATACAGTAGCTTTCAGCAAGTTTATATTAACGAACCTATTTTAGTGTTTATAAATCTATTGTTGTTTAATGTAAATATAATTAATGTAAATATAAAACCCACAGTCAGTGACAGCCAAAAGACCAGCCGTCTTGCTTTGAAGGAGGTTTTAGTTCTAGTTTTGCATTTCTTCGGAACTAAAATCATTCTGTCTTGTGTTCTGACGGAGATCTGGTTCACTGCTTGTCGCGATTGGGACTAGATGACCTCAGATAAATACAGACAGCATTAACTTCGTCCACCAGGTAAAGTTCAAAAGAGACGCGAAGCAGTGCGCACTAGCGCATCGAAATTGAGGCGCTCAAATTACACCAACTGGTGTAATTAAAGACTGCTAACTCTTCCGTATACATGTCATATAATGTAAAGTGGATCAATTCTTAAACGTCGCGCAGTATGGACCTGCGTACATGTACATTACTAAACATCATTAAAGCTTAAATTACAAAACGGGAAGGGGAAAAATGCGATAATTTCGATTCGATATTCGCGAAGTTGTTAAAAAAACGCGACTGACACCTTTAAAGCGGACAAATGGTGCTGCCGTAACATAAAACCCATTGGGGATTTAAAATCAGCACCTTTGATCGGTGGATGCTGCAGATAAGGTCGGGGCGAGCTTCATTGAGGGATCGGTATTAAGTAGATCTTTTCACGGCAATTGTGCCCCGACAATGTGAGGATTACTCGGGGATTATCGACCCTCTGCTTGTTGTAGGCGGATTGGAAAGGCGTCCCAGTTCTAGTGTACACTGCTACGGAATCAAGTGGCGGGTGATTTGGAGTGTTTACTTTTGTTGGTGCCGTTTAGAGGTCCGTATTGCGTGAATAGTTCATACCGTGAGTATGTTTTGTTTCTGGATTGTTTGTTTGTTTCCGTCTACTATTCTGCTTGGAACAGTGTATGCTGGAAAAGGCATTGGACATTCTCAATGTATCCCGCAACATTTAGCGTCTGACTCTCTCAATGGTCACTGATTCAAGTTCCTAACTTTCTTTAGGATTTCATATATCATATTTATGTTGTAACTGTTGAGACATTATTAGGTTTTCCAATTTTCGTCTGACTTAGGTCCATTAATATTTATAAAAAAACTATTATAATTTTTCGCTTAATCATTCTGTATATAAAACTCTTTCCGCTCGTCCGCACTTAAGGTCAAACCACTACGAGAATACTCATAAGTAATTATGTTCTATTTATTTCATTATGAAAACCGATATTATTACCGTCATATATATTTTATAAATCTAGAAATAGACAGAATTACCTACTGATAATTCAGATTAAGTTATACTGATCAATCGAGCGATAATACATAGTGGATGTCAACTGATAATAAGTTTGACTATGTACAGATAATAAATAAAAAACAATTCATCTAGCAAACATCAAATAGTGATAGACATAATATCATCTTTATCGTTTAAAAAAAAACGATAGTGCACTGACCGCTAAGTTATTTTTACTTGGGCCCATTTGCATAGGCGCGTATAAGTTCATATAAGTAAGCTTAATCATAAAAATAAACTTGCAACTTAATAAGCAAGACTGAATAGTTCGATATGCAAATTTAATATTAACAAGTAGCTTATGGCCACATCGTTTCCGTTGCTGGAAACATTGCGTTGCACTATAAAATTAAACGGTACACATTACGGAATCGAAGAGATGTTTCATAAAATATTTCAATGCTCGTAAACAGCGTAATATGTAGTTATTATAAGATATCCATAAAACGCTCACTTTGAATGAATGAAAGAAGATGAATGAATGAATGAATATTCTCTATTGCACATACCATGGCAAAACAAACACATTAAAAATAGAAATAAGATAAATAATTACATAGTAATTAAAGTAATTTTTCCGGCAACCTTTGAATGGAACTTAAATGTAACGACTGTTTCATGGGTGTGGGTAAATTTAACTAACTATTGTTGTTTGTATTAACAATCACTGTTTCTTAAATTATAATATGCATTTATGTTAATCAGCTCGTTTTCCTGTGGTCGATGTTTTACAAAATCTTAAGGCCCAAAATAATAACATATTCCGATATACATAAATAATTATGTGTTCCGCAGTTTAAACAAATAACTTAACTTAAAGTTATAAATGTATAATTTAAATAAGAACTTTGAAATATTTTTCGTAATTTTCTGTGCGTGAACTACTTTACTTGCCACTACATAATTTTATATCGTACTTATTCCCTGATTGCTCCTGATTACTAGTGACTACCGGAGCCCATTCTCAGCCGTGGGGTTGCTATAGTGTTGCCAATCTTTAAGACGGTGAACTCGGCTGCCTCGATCAAGCTAAACGCAAAAGTGTTGAGTATTCCGTATCACGCCGGCTTTCTTGGAAACCGTGGACGTTTACGATTTTCACTTTTTAAAAACACGTATTTTTTATCACTAGTAATTTAAATTGTTGTAAAATATATATCCAACTATACACATGTGTGCGTTTTCTGCCCAGAGATGTTTTAAAAGTTAAGAGAGAAAGAAGTAGTGCGGATTCCATGCTAAAATTATATTAATATCATACTAACACGAATGGAAGATGACTATTAGATCATTTTATTAAAAATTAAAATTGATAAATAAATAAAAGTAATAAATAATAGTAAATTTTGTAAATTATATAATATATACAAAAATACATTTGTAAATTACCTAAATATATTTTTTTATTATTACATATACATATACATTTTATTATTAACAGCAAAATTAATATAGTATGCTTTACCTAGAAAAGCTTATTCTATCGAGATAAGAAAGTTCTCGAATATCTCTATTTGTAGATACGTTAGAGTTACAACGCTAGCTTGAGTTAGTCTAGAACTTTAGATTGTGTTGAGAGTTTAGGCAATACTTACCGAACATCAGTGCCTGAATCAGGTCTTGCCCTTTTTGTCTGTAACAATGCAAACAGAACATTATTATGTTACGAATGGAGAAACATTTTGCGTGTTCATTAAATATTTCTACATATATTTGGATTTTTTTGATACTGCTCGTAATCTATTCCTCGTTATTACTTAGTTCTTCATAGGATAGATATTATTCATATATTATTTACGTAGGATATTCCCAAAAATTACACGAATATGAACAATGTAATTATTTATGAATACCAGGAATTCATAATTGTGTGAGAATCGACGTTTGCTATATTATTTGGTTACAAAACGTACGGCTACAGACAATAGTCCTTTAGCTTGAAAATGCGTAGTGAAAATTGTCGCAAAATTCTTGCCGCTGCTGATAAATTACATTTTAAATGCAGATACTAGTATTAAAATTTAATAATTAAGATTTTCGGCGCTTATCGGTTTCAGTGAAGTAGATTAAAATTTAAATGTGAATTATTCTCGTTAAAATTAAGTGGTGGTTTTTCAGTGCTTTATTTCCAGTGTAAAAATACGCGCTAACTAATACACTACAAAGAATACAAAGACTACAGATTAAATATTATTTATTGACACTTTGGGATCCGTGCGCATAAAAAGTTTATTTATAATAGCGTCGCTGTAAAAAGCGAGCAGAGACCGCAGAAAAAAAAACCAAAACCACTGTTTAATCTTCATTAATAGACGCGCATTGTGCCTCCATACAGTGTCCGGTACAATTCGCATTTCGCCAAACTTCTTAGAAACGCATTGTGGCACATCGACAAAGAAACGTGTTTAGCGACGCCCGGCCGTTACTTCATACTGGGCCCGGCCCAATGTGCGTGGCATGTGCGCTTAGAACACTCACCAATACTCTACCATTGACAGCTCAGTTTTGGATATTTTGATTTATTTATTTCTTTTGATTTATTTTAGATCGCAAAGAGGGTTCGCTTGATGAATGAATACGAGAGAAATGGCTAAATAATAAGCTTAAAAAAAAGATATAGATAATGCTCTCAACATACTTAAAATAATTAAAATTACCCGAATGATATATTTATAATGCGACTAATGTATAAGTTCCAAGAGCTGATTGCGATCACAACTTTCGTGAATGAAATACCTACATAAAACAAAGTCGTCCCGCTGTCTGTCTGTCCCTACATATGCTTAGATCTTTAAAACTACGCAACGGATTTTGATGCGGTTTTCTTTAATAGATAGAGTAATTCAAGAGGAAGGTTTATATGTATAATTCACACATAATATTCTAGAGGAAACCTGATAATTTTAGAGGTTTCTAATGCGATGTCGAAAACAAACATTCAGCATTGCACCCGTGCGAAGCCGGGGCGGGTCGCTAGTATATTAAAAACGCAGTTCAGTTCCCGACTTAAAATTTGACTCGCATACAGTTTTTAAATAGCTCATGCTTAATAAGAGATTAAAGTACAAGCGAATGATTGCAAACCTCCTCCGATTTGTAGTATTTTTTGTTGAAAAGAAAATTATTTATGAACAGATATTTTTTTTTAAAACATCAAAACATTTTTGTAATCATGAAATGTAACGACTCTTCAATGACTGGCATGGTGGACAAGATGCCGTTTAAGAAATAGGAGAAGTTAATTTCGATAAAACACTGCAAATATGTTATAGTGTTATAGTAGCTAAGTTATAACGCACGTTAGTTCATGCTGCGACGGTTATTTAGAGATTGCATTTGCATATAAGTGTTTCTGATGCATATAAGTGGGATGGGGTCAGGAAGGTTTGAATAGATTTATACATTCAAGTTTTTGTTTTGCGGAATGTATGTTTTAAATTTCATCCATATCTTGTTTATAGTGAATTTTAGTGCTTAAGAGTCGTCATTCTGATCATAAAGAAGATGACCAGAATGGTCAATTCAGAGAGTTTAACCATCTTTTTGGTACCTAAATTGTAATTTGAAATCCATTTGACTGCCGATTCGTTGACATCTACGATGATCTGTGTTTCAGAAACCGGGCGTAAGTATACGAATATAAATATATTTCTAATTTTTGAGATCCGTTGCTCTTCTAGTCATATGGTATATGACTTTCATCCGTTCTCATGAAGTGCCTATGCAATGTCGACCTACCTCTTCTTATTTTCTCAGTCACCGGTGCCACTTTCAAGCTTTTCCTGATATACTCATTCCAGATCTTCTTACCTTATCTAGTCAAAACACGCATTCATCCCAACATTTTCATCACTGCCTCATGTATTCTTATTTCATCCATGTCTTCTGCTGCCCAACACTTGGATCCACACATCATGACAAGTCTCAACACCGTCTTAAAAATCTCCCCCTTGAATTTCATGTGCATTCGTTGGTCACAGTCAACTCCTGAGACCTGTCACCATTAAAATTTACATAAATAATGATAGATTCGATCGCACAAGTGTATTTTACTATGATAGAGTATTACGCAAACTTGTCCTTTTCTTTTAAAAAATGATAATGCAACAGCGCGCCGCGGATGTTGCGATAACGGAAAAACTTAAGTATCGTGTGATTAGCTTCGTAATTTTCTCTAATAATAAACAATTGATACAGTTGAGTATTTATTTTTGAACCAATTTGGATAAAGTTTGAAATGGAGATAAATTCTACGGGATTGAAACGTAGGATACTGATGAATTCCATAAAAATACAAAATTTTATTTTGAAAAGAAACACAAGGATTTCAATTGTTAGAAAAAATATTTCATATCGATTTTATGCGCCTATTATATTTTCTTCTAACTAGGTCTCCTCAAACCGTAGCGAAAAACATTATATTCTATTTACAAATATTTTGTTTTTATATGGCTTTAAAATAATTATTATTTTGAAAGTCGCCCTTTATTATTAATAGAATAAAAGGGCAATAGAATCTAGCGTTAACTTACAAAGTTAACAATTTGGGATGTCGTCTGTCAAAATGTCACAGAGCATAATACTAATATATCATAACTGCTTGCATCTCAACCATGCGCTATCCATACCGAATTAAAAGTTTCAACAAACCTAACCCGTGTAACGGTTAACAATCCCAATTTTTCTAACTTACAAGAGATGAGAGATAAAACCGAAGTTATAAATAATAAAACTCTTAAACGTCGCCTACCTCGGATCAAGATTACGGTAACAACATTAATAAAATCAAGCCGAATTTATTTAACAACCTTCAGAGGGCGCCACCACGTCTCCATTTGATATACGGACCTCAATCGAGTGCGATGGACGCGATAAACGTTTCTATCCCCTTGTCATATGCCACGTTCTCCTTTTTCATCGCGACTGTAACGTTTTTGTAAGCTTATTTCGAATATCGAATTTTTCCACGTCCGAGAAAAGGGATTTGAACGCCGCCGCGTATGTGTGACTGTGATACGATTACGAACTAAACGCGCTTGGTTTAAAGATAAACTATATTTAATACGAAAAAAGAAAAAACACTTTAATCGGCATTATAATCGAAAAGTTTCAATAGAGGAAATTTAATTATTAGATTAATAATGATCAGGAGAATTATGTCGCTTTTTCCTTAGCCAATCTTTAAATATGCCAGATGTATTTAACACACAATAAAATAACTGTAAGAAGCTAGACTGTTTGATTATAAAAAAGCGATGACTGTAGATAAAATTAACAACGTTATATATACTTTCTCTGTTTTGTTTGCGCATTTTACCAACCACGGTGGACCTACCAGGATCGCATAAGTCAAAGGAGGTATAGCGTGTGAGAAAGAGCGTAAATCACGTGGCATTCCGCTCGAGGTGTGAGGCCGGCCGATCCCGCGATAGCGCGGGCTAATTTATACGTTTTACGCGGCGACAACGCGCCTGAGCGCCTCGGGATCATTTATTACAAAGGCTGCTCCGTATTAACATTTTATGTCCGATACAATGTTAAGGGTGGAATACTCGTTTAAATTTTTCAAGAATACAATAATTTTATATGATTTGGTACACAGCTTTACATCGTAAAATCGATAGAGTTGTGCAATCATGACCTTACATTATGATCTCGTTATATTGTAATAATAAAGGTTAATCGTAATGCTGTTCAAATACTAATACACGATTATAATTAATTACGACGAAATTCTAGAATTCTTTTTTTAATGCAATAGTACTGTACATTTTCCTTTTTTTTTAAGAATTACGAAAAAAAAGTAGTATTCATATTTATTTTGTATTCGATCCTTGTTTACTACTTGTACTATATTACTTGAAAAAGAAAATAAAAAAGGTACACTAATGAGTAAGCAATACTTCACTCTAGCTCCCTAGCTTCCAATCGTGAAAACGGTAACAAAAACTATAAAAATGCTTCGAGAAAACTAACAGCCTGTGCACTAAACAAGGGACGGTACAAAACTGTTATTTATTTATACGTAATTCGTTTATTGTTTTATCTGTGTTAATATTTACGATCGGGGACTCTCGCGCGTCGCGTCCCGCTCCCGAGTTCCAACAATATAAATTTTCAAATTTATCGTCCGCTATATTTATGTTCGGTTATCTCCGATAATTCGTGTGATGCCCAATGGCGTGATATTAATTCGATGCGTGATATATTTTTTTTTAATTTTGAGTCATCACGTGAAATGTCAATTTTGTTTGTGCTTTATTTTTTTAAGTATGGTGTTCGTTTTTATTGTTCCGTATATGTATAGCAATTACTTTTATCGTATTTAATTTGTCAATAGACTAACTAATTTTTTGATTTCAGGACTTTCAACGCATGTTTGTTAATTCGTTAATTTTTTAAATAATATTCATATACATAAATGCATATAAATCGGGTGCAAATGCATATGAAGCGGGACTTTTAAGTTTCATTAGCTGTGTGTGCTAGAGTTTCGGATACGAAACGTTGTAAGGTATTATTAATTATTTTATAAGTTCTAGGTGGTTCTTTGGGAGGATTCTTAAGATATTTCTTTTAGTTATTTCAATTGAAGGACTATTAAAAATAATGTGACTCCCGTGAATATCTTCGTGAAACAAAAGCGTTACATCTGCCAACACATTGTGTTTGAGATATCTGAGAAAGGCTAGAGTCATAGGCCCTATTTAAGCCCTACGCGCTTAACAATTTAAGAGGGCACTATCAGCGGAGACATCTCGACCGATAAATCGCATCTCGTGGGGCTATCAACTCGGACAAATTTGTTTTTATTGTCGTTATCTCTGGGTGGCTTCGCGTATCGGCACCACGTCTTACTTGTCGCTGTTTTTTAAACGTTTACACGGTAAAAGTACGCCAGCGTATCGCTTAAAAATGTAGATGTTAATTAATTGCTTGGAAAGTGAAAATGCGTTTGTGTTCGTTAAGCGGAAAGGTCTTTGTGTATTAGGGCGGTATAAAATTATGAATGGTGATACTGGTCTAATTGTTGTAGCTTACAGTAATGAATTTACACTCTTTTCGAGTAAACCAAACGGCACGTTTATACCAAACGGGCTAGACAAATATTTTTTTAATATAATGAATGATGATTCACTGTGCTTATTAAAAAGTGGTCTAAAATAATTTGCGATGGTGCTAATTTAAAACAGCCGCTAAATAATTTTGGCCATTAGAAGTTTCTATTGACATCAAAAATAAGTTAAATTGGATTCTAAAAGAGAAGTCTACGGAAATCTATTTTCTCTACTTCAACGTACGATTTAAAATACTACGAAAGTAATGAACTTTACGCGCGAAAATGCTGATGCACGTTGTTTGTGACATATTTTTAATCTGTTTGATAAGGTGCTATTGTCTCTCTCGCGTTTCACGTTCGCCCTGTAACTAAATTAAATTATCAACGATCGCTTGTAAACCAACCCCGCGCGGTTATGATCGCCTGGTATCAGGTGCCTAACGACGCACTGTCCCGTAGGTACGCCAGCGACACCGCACTCGATGTATTACGACTTTTTAATGGCCCCTAAAGATTAACGTATGAATGGGGTAACATGAGATCCGACGCCGCACCACTCGGAAAACATAAACAGTTTGTCCGCGCTCATGTTTGTTGGTATCCGGACGATAAAATTCGGTGTTAACTAATGACTTAGACACCTATTTGTAGGCGAAGAGATTCGTAATAAAAATAAGTGAAATAAATCCTTACTAATATTATAAAGGCGAAAGTTTGTATGTATGGATGTTTGTTACTCTTTCAGGCAAATGGATTTTTTTTTTTAATTTTTTTTTTATGCGAAAAGTTATCAAACGAGCAGACGGTTCACCCGATGTTAAGTGAATTCCGCCGCCCATGGACATCTGCCACACCCGAGGGTTACAGATGCGTTGACAACCTTTTGAAATTGGGCTCCGGCTACCTCACTCACCAGACGAAACGCGAAAGAATTTGTCATACTTCCACTTTACGCTGGTCTTCTGTGAGGTCGTGGTACTTACCCGGACGGGCCTTTGGCCCTACCACCGTTAAATAATATAGCTTGTAATATAGGTTGTCTTTTAATATAGCTTAAATAAATTTTAATGAAACTTTACAATAAAGCTTATACATCAGAATAAAACATAGGCTATAATTTACATACATATTTTTATGTCTGAGCCTATATTTTACGCAGACGTAGTCGCGGGCAGCACCATAGTAACCATATAAAATATGTTTTGTATCAGATTGATTTTTTGCTTTGAATGTAAAACGGCAATACAATACAATACCGGCCTTCACAAACGTTTGTTAACACAAATGTTTTCCTCCAAAACAGATACTAGGATAGCAGAATTCATAAGAATGTACTAGTAAGTTTTATTGGTATGACAACGCTCGTATAATAGAGCGTGATTTATTCAGTGATTGTTTATGAATTTCATAGACACGACTATGTCAAAATTTATCTCTTTTCCTTTTTATTACAATTCTTGTAGCAAAAAGGGGATAGCATGATGTTTTTATAGTCTGTTACAACTTTTATCTGCTCTATTTAACCTTTAAAATACTAGATTTTACAAACAACTATTTACATACTTAAAAGAACTTGGCTAGCTTCCTGGTGATTGATATAAATGCATAAGGGGGAGATAAAAATATTAGGGTCATAAATAAAAACTTACTTGGTGCAGAAGGAAACTAGTGAGTAAATTATATTTAAAACTAACAGGCATTCAAAGAGATGCAAGGGCTACGTAATTCATAGCAACATGCGAAAACCATGCAAAAAAATATAAACATAGTACATTACGGCGTTATATGTGAGTGGTCGCTGTGCAATAATTGACTAGGTAATTAGTGACATTTGTGCTTTATCATAATCAGACTCTGACCTTTGGCTCGGTGTGGTCCAGGCTGCATCTTGGGGACGCTCCGCCGAGGTAGCTACACGGCATCAATGTCACCATGTTTCACTCGCACTCTATTTGTCAGCGACGCAGACAGTTTTTTTGGCGCGAAACGACTTAAGAGACGCCATAGCGTTTATACATTCATTTTCAGACGCACGGTCAAGTAATGTTTTGGTCTGACGAAGTGTGTTTCAAAGCCCATAGTTTAGTTCACCTACGAAGGAAAAACTTTTTTTTATTTTAAAGCACTTTATGTTATTCATTTAGTATTAATCGTGGGACTACAGTACACGTATTGAGATAACTCGTCTCCTCGAACGAGACCTGATCTGAATACTCTTTTATTGATTATCGAAAACCAATTTTTATGAATTGACGTTTATTTATTTTATGCGAAAAGTTGTCAAACGAGCAGACGGTTCACCTGATGTTAAGTGAAAACCGCCGCCCATGGACATCTGCCACACCCGAGGGTTACAGATGCGTTAACAACCTTTTGAAAATTGGGCTCCGGCTACCTCACTCACCAGTCGAAACGCGAAAGTATTTGTCATACTTCCACTTTACGCTGGTCTTCTGTAAGGTCGTGGTACTTACCCGGACGGGCCTGTCCATTCGTGCAACAGCCGAGGCTGTGCGTGGCCCTACCACCGTAAAACATAGGTGACGTAGGTATATAATATTGTTTTGTGGACTCTATTAAAGTTTTTAATTACTAATTCCGGAAGTTCTTCGATCTGCATTTGTAGACTTTGGGGTGAAAATTAAAAAAAAATATCACGGGTGACTATCGCACTCCGCCGGTGGCTAGTTGTCGAGTGGCTGTTAGTCATCGGTTTTAGTTGAACAAAAAATAAAAACAAAAGAATGAAAAAAAATATACGCACGTTTGGTGGAAATGGGGTCACCATGATTATGCCAAATTCTTATCTTCAGATAATTCTTACGAACACTTCGATACTTGCAGCTAAGATCTGACAAGTAAGATGTACTAGAATCGAAGCGGTTGTAAGTTAGTTTTGTAGGTAGGTCTGTGCAAAAGCACAAAATCTTAAGCTACTGGCCAGTTATGTTAGCATGGTAAATTTGTGAAACGTTATAATGCTTAACGTGGACAAGACAGTTCTTACGAATTAAGGTCCAAAAACAAATATTCATTTAACACACATACAAACATAGTTTTAACTTAAGTTTGTCGTGATGTCACTTAAACTTTACACTTAAGAGGTACCAAGTATGAAATAATATTTTGTCAACCTGCAGCTTGAGTTAAGTTGTATTTGTTAACATTTTATCGCTTTTTTTCAAAGGAAGAATTATGAGGCGATAGCATATTGCCTTGTATATCAGGCCTCTGTTCTCATATATATATATATATGTATATATGACATATGTTTGTTGTTATTTTATCTTTTCAAATTAGAATTTTGGACTTTGTTTTGCACCTACGTCAAATTTATCACTACTCCCAGGGTTGACTGGAAGAGAATGCTTATTAGCAAAGTAAGTTTGCCTTTTGTTTGGCCTTATTTTGGGGTGTAAACAATAAATTTTTAAATAAAATTAAATAAATAAATAATTTTGGTACTGACTTTGACCTGTGTCTCTCTCTAGAAGTGTGTTTTTCTGAAAATATAATTGTAAAATTTGTAGGATAAAAAGTATCCGCTGTCCGTGTGCTTTTTTATTTTTTATAAAATGCTTCCCAGACCTTTGCATTAAGAGAGACCAATCTCCGTGTGTGCAGTTAGTGTTCACACACATAAAAATCTTTGACTTATATAATGTGAGCGCGATTTTAAGTTAAAATCTTGGGGGTCTGAAAATTCTATATCGAATATGGTGTCCCTATGTGAGACCACCCACATGGTTCCGTCAAAGTCGAATGTCGAACCAAGAACGTGTTCATCAAGTTGTCAAATCGAGTTTGACGTAATCGAGAATATGTTTTTTTTTTTCCCGCCCAAATAGCTTCTGTGCCTTGATTTGAAATGTCTGTGTTGCTGCAAATATAATTATGTAATTATCAGCAAGAGCATGTGCTCTTCTGTAATAATGGGGGTGAATAGTAAGCTTAGAATTACCATACAGGAACAGGAGTGGAAACAACGTTGTACTTCTTGGTACTTCAAAAACGAATGTTTTTTTGCACCGAAATTTGTAAAACCTATGCAGTATTTCGTATTTTTCTGTATTCCATATTCCACTTTTATTTTTTTATTAGATCAGCACTCCGAAATAAATTTTCATTTTCTAATTGCATGGATGAGAAAGGCAGAAATTTTTGAATCGGCTTTTTTGTACACTCTTTAAATTAACTATATCTTCATTGGAAAGACAAAATTACTTAATTATTAAAAGTGATTTTGCCTTTCCAGTGACGTATTATTAATAAAAAAAAATGTTATTTAATCTAAAAGTTTTTGTTGAAGTTATCTGTTTAATTTTTTCTATTTTAAATCTATTCGTTTAACGTATTAACTTCGTTAAACAAATTTCTTTAAGCCACTTATTTCCGTTTAAGTTTTTAGAAGGTTGAAAACCGACACGTCAACTTTAATTGAAACGGTTAGATGATTTAAAAAATAAAGGAATGAATTCGGAGAGCGAAGGAATGTTGCCACCATCAGGTTGTTTACGGAGAAACCATGCCATGATTTTTTTTCTATGACCTACCCACAGTACATGGTTTAACTACATGCAAAAACGAGGTTTATTATTAGTAAGCCTTGCGTGCGTTTCATTATTAGAGTTGTAGTGATTACGTTATATATAAAATTTTAAAATCGTTCAAGCTTTAATATGAAATAAGAAAGGAACTTAAACTTTATCAAAGATTAGAAATCCTTACTAATATTAAAAAGGCGAAAGTTTGTATGTATGGATGGATGTTTGTTACTCTTTCAAGCAAATACTACTGAATGGATTTTAATGAAACTTTACAATAATATAGCTCATACATCAGAATAATAGGCTATAATTTATATACATATTTTATGTATATGTCTTTCTGTCTGAATGTTACGCCTTCAGCCTATTGTACGCAGACGTATTCGCGGGCAGCAGCTAGTAAGTTATAAGCTATAAAACTAGTTTGAAATAAATTTGAAGTAAATTGAAAGAAAATGTTAATCCGTCAGAATATATAGTACTTTATTAAACTTTGTCAAAGGAATACTTGTCTTGTGAAGGAATCGAACCCATAACTCGCAGTAAGACCGATGTGAAATCGAAGTGTTATACTTCTGCGTTTCGACTGGTGACTGAGGTAGCAGGGGCCCAGTTTATTAAAAGCTGTCAACGCTTCTTCTACCCTATGTTTATTTAGTTGTTTATTGAGTTATTTAGTTATTTAGTTGTTTAGTAGTTTATTGAGTTATACAAATGACAATGGGTGGCGGTTATCACTTAACATCAGGTGAACCGATAACTCGTTTGCCATCTCCTGAAAAAAAAAAAAACACTTGGCTGTAATTCCATCAATCGTTATTAAGGGAAACATTACGGGTTTCCACGAACTTTACACGGTTTCAATTCAAATTTTAAGCGGAAAACTTATTATTAATTAACAATTAACTGATTTTGCATTCCCGCTCTCCATTTTTAATTTTGTTAGTTCGCTCACACTGGGTAAAATATTTGCGACTATATTACACAACCGATATAATATTTTGTGAAATCTGCGTGTCAATCGTATGACGTTAAACCGAATATCGAGTATAGATTATAGAATAGTGAAGACCGGGCTTGATTAGAGATAAGTACCCAAAGGGTAAAACGGGACCCTAATCAATTTAATCAAAACTAGCTTTCCGCCCGCGGCTTCGCTCGCGTTGAAGCCCTTTAAAAACTATGTAGATTTTTTAAAGAAAGATATTATCAACCCTTTACAACACTTTTTTCCAATGAAAAAATAGCCTATGTCCTTTCTCGGGCTCTAGAATATCTGTGTACCAAATTTCATTTAAATCGGTTCAGTAGTTTTGGCTTTAAAGCGAGACAGACAGAATTACTTTCGCATTTATAATATCAAGTATGGAAGTATGGATTACTTAGACTGCGCTGTCTGTCTATCTGTTCGTCATTAGTTTGTATCTCATGAACCGTGAAAGTAAGAAAGTTGAAATTTTCACAGATGATGTATTTCTGATGCCGCTATAACAATAAATAATAAGAATAAAATGATGTTCCCCACTGACATGATTATTTGCCGTTTTTATAGATAATAGTACGGAACCACTCAGGCGCTAGTCTGACTCGCACTTGGCCGGTTTTATATTAGTCTTAATACCGTTTGAAACCGGCAGGGGGTGTACGGTAGCTTCAGCGTCGTGCTGCGCCGTCTACTTGCTACTGCGCGAGCGGCCATCCATTTATTGGTAGGAATTTTTAGGGAAATTTTGACGGCGGGCGCGGCTGTATACGGTTGTCTCGATAGAATAATTGCGTTCGAAAATCAACTCGATGCGTTTATCGTCTGCGCCGTTTTATTTATTATTTTTAATTGTTCATTTGTCTGTTTAGTCTATGGCAGTGATAAATTATACATATTAGTGTTACCATGTTGCTTTTAATTTTGTTCAGATCGATTGTTTGCGTTTTGTAAAAAGTATATGTCAGGGTTATGGTTCGTGGCCAGTAGTTTTCGTATATTATTCGAAGAGAATTATTATTAAGCTGTTTTAAAAAATATTTTTTCTCCTTCAAGCCTCCTGGTGAATCAGGTGTTTGTCTAATATAGTCACAAATTTAGCATCTGAGATCTGATGTGAATGTCCTCCATTTCATGAATAAACTGGCCATCGTAAATAAAAAAAAAAAAAACATATCTTGCCTTTTTCCCATACAGTCGCAACGGGGGGCAAACGCTTCGGATTCCCAAGCATGTTTCCTTCAACGAAACACTTAATATTCCTTGTAACGAACGTAACAGTGGCTATATTCGATTGCGACTCGAGTGCTGAACGGAAAACGATAAAACGGCACGGTACAAACTATAAGATACAGATTTTAATGAGCGTCGAAACGGTCGCTATTATTTATTTAACAGTTGACAC